AAAAAACTTATGGACCTTTCCTCACAGGCTATTTATCCCAAGTAAAATTAAAGAACTCCATTTCAAAATTGCTCATAGATACTACCCTTGTAATTTATTTTTGAGCAGATTCTCTGAGAATATATCCTCAATGTGTTCGTTTTGTAATACTGATGAAGAATCTATTCTACATATGTTTTATCATTGGCCATTCACCAAGTCTTTTTGGTCAGAAGTTAGCATGTAAATTTTTTCCTGCTGTAACAAAATGATAGAAATAACAGAATCATTTTCTTTGTCAGATTTTCATTCCAAGGACATTAATCTGGAACATATTGTTTCATTGCTTTGTCTTCAGGGGAAATTTCACCTTCATAAAGCCAGAACCATTCATTGCAAACCTAACTTTAGAATGTTTTCATCTGATATAAAGTCCCTTTTTACTTCTTTTAAGAATATGTCAAATCATTTGAACTCGAAGGCTTCTAAAACTTTTAACATTCTTCAGTCTATTGTAAACTATCTTTAAAAGTCTTTCCTTTCTTTCTTTTTTCTTCTTCTTATCATTGGTATATTTGGTTAATTTTGTATAGCTTGTCTAACTTCATGTGATGATGTCCGTTAGCCCCATGTTATTTCCTAACTGTTGTTATTTTTTTTTAAACTCTCTCGCTCTACAGCTCTGCATGAAACAAGAGGAGCAAGGGAAACGAATGACCAAAAACAGGAACATTACTGAAAATGTCAAAATACACAAGCTGAGTTTTTTGGCATGGGAGCTGAACACACAGCAGCCAGAAATACAGCTTGGGTGAGCTCGAAATAAAATTAATAAATTATTAATTGCTTAAAATAATGAAAAAATAAATAAATAAAATATGAATAGAGGCGGGACTATCATCCATGTAAGAATATAAACAGTTGGAATACGCCAAAAAATTCCAAAGAAGAAGAAAATTTCAAAATAACAGACATGAAAATATAAACTGAACAAAAACACAAAACAGACGTGACAACAGGAAACGGGTTTTTTATTATTATTATCTTGATTATTACGTTTAACCATAAAATACTGACAGAAGATTTATCAGTGGTATTTCAGAACTACAAATTATTTTGCATATATTCAAAAACAAACAAATATATCATGAATTTAACAGCGAAAGGGAGATCACTACAGCCCCCCTGAGACCAGCGAAGATCTATGAAAATGGCTCCATACATTTGCATCTGCACAGGTCAGGGTATGAAGTGCAGTGCAGGACCCAGTGAGACCTCATGCATTAAATTCTGACTGAATTTTCAAGATTATTTATAAAAACAAAAACAAACAATGTTTTCTAATTTCTTCTTTATAGGACATTCACAGTATTTTTCAAACCCAGCAAAACTGAAGATCCTAGAAGCTTCCCAACATGATGAACAATCAAAACAACACATGAATCACACAAAGTACACGCTAATGGAATAATAGGCTAAATGTAGGTGATATAACCATTAAAGCTATATATTTTTATTAAATGGTTTTATTTGTTGTAATTGACATCTGCATTCATCATGAATTAAGAACAGTGATCTGGAATTTGCTGTTGATGAGTTTTGGAATTTAATCCTCAAAGTTGTCATTCTAAAACTATGTATTTTAGTGGAGATTCACATTTTGATTGTATAGTTGCCTCTTATTACAGCGATTCTGTCAAATCAGTTAATTTGGTGTATCGGTGTGATTAAAAGATGATTTGATGTGGAAGCTTGAACATGGTCCCTTACAGCAAAGCCAAAATATTAATGATTATATATTGCTGGTAATCAAACAGTTGGTGGTTGCCATTGACTTCCATAGTATTTTTTTTCTGGAAGTCAATGGCAACCCCCGACTGTTTGATTACCAGCAATCTTCAAAATATCTTCTTTTGTGTTCAACATAAGAAAGCTACTCATACAGGTTTGGAACGACATGAGGGTGAGTAAATGATGACAGAATTTTCATTTTTGGGTGAACTATCCCTTTAAGCTAAATCAATGTGAAATCAGCATAAAACATCAATATAGATATAAAGTAAAAAGAATATAGACATGGATATAAAGATATATGAATGAATGATTTGTTGTATGAGTGAAATTATTTATGAATACACAAGTATATATAAAGAAAATTCAAGAAAGAATGAATTATAAATGTATTTTTAGTCTCAACCAAATGAATGAACCCACTATCACCCATAAGATACATGACTATTCATTAATCAAAATTAAGAGAAACCAGGTGTCACTTCGGTTTCTAAAAATGCTCTCGAACAATTATATGAAAAGTGAAAACCCATAATGACATTTTAAAAATCTCTCAGATTTGAAGCTATTGCAGTCGTCACCCAAAGAAATGTCAGCATAGATGTGTGAGCTTCAATTAGAATCTTCCATCTCGCAGTCGGTCTGATTCTCCTGCTCTGCAGTCCCAGACTCATTGCTTTTATTTCTGTAGGCTTCTAAGGTATTGACTACCTCACGCAAACCTTTTATATTAGCCTGTCCTCTGATCATATCAAGGATGGGCTACATGGAATAGGTGTATTCCACAATGCATCTAGTTTTACCTTTTTCTCCTGGGTACACATATCCACCTATTAATGTGGTACATTTATTGTCATCTTTTATGTAAAAGTAAGCAGCAAGCCGTTTCTTGACTGGCACCAGCTTCACCTTTGAGTGATAAAATACCTTTGATTTGATTAAATACAGGCTTTAAAACTTCAAATTAGGCTTCTAAAGGGAACTAATGTGACCCTTTTTCTTTCCCTTTTCAGCCACATGCTTATGATCCTCTACATGAAAATCAACCATCGCTGCTCTGAAGATGCAGCACCTTCAGTGAACTACAGCTGCTTATATGGAGCTTGCTGTTTGGCTTCATCTGGAAGTAAAGAAGCAACTGGAGGTGAGGTCAAAACACAAAAAAAGACAGAAGCGTTAAAGCTGCAGTCCCTCACTGGACAATGGAAGAGCTGAAAAAGCAACATGCAAACCAGTGAATACCTTTGTAAAATATAAACATTTCTGTCTTTAATCTTTGCATATACAAATACAAGATATCTTATTTTGGGCTCCCCTCTTTCACCAAGATGTCAAAAAACAACTTGGCAAACAAGTGGCGGTTTATAGGACATGAAATAGTAAGTGAAGGAGCAGCTTAGAACTGAGTTTCTTTTATTTATTGTGTTGATCTATTATCGAGGAGCACTTATAGATGAGCAGCAGGATGTGTACTTTTGATTGCATATTGCATAAATCTGAAGAAAAATCAATAATCTGTTCATAATATTAAATATGTTGTGTTTATAATCAGAAAGTTCTTTGTTCTATTAGAGTCAAGAATGAAGCCAAACTATTTTAAGCATGATTATTTAATATAGCGAAAATGAGGCACAAAATAAAGTTACAAAAACATGTTCAACGTAATTTTTAAAAAGATATACAGTGTATACATGCAGCTGTAGGCCTCTTTCTGAAGCAGCAGAGAGTACAAATATCTGCAGCATTGAACAGTGCTGGAGCAATCAAAAATATTGAAAAACAATGTTTATTATTAACCCTTTAATGGATAGTTCACCCAAAAATTCTGTCATGATTTACTCCTATAATTTTTTTATTAATATATTTTGTGTTCCGCAGAAGAAAGTCAGTCGTGCAGGTATGAAATTATATGAGTCTGAATAATTTATAACAAAATTTTCATTTTGGTCGATCTATCACTTTGGAGGATTTCTAGAATTTAAGCAAAATATCATTTATCCTTTTATACAAACACAATAATGCTGTCTGATCTAACAAAGATGTAGTTTGTTTTCTGGTTGCTACATAATGAAACAGAATGTACGTTACACAAAGAACAGATTAACAATGAAAATAAGAACTCATAACCAATGATAAGGATGAATAGTTGGACATTTGCCTAAAGGCATCCAATGATCATATAGAATTGATACATCATTGAATTAAATTGTATGTTGAACATGCCTGAATACCTCAAGATAAATGAAAAGTTTTATATTTAAAAAAAATAGATGGATTCGGCATCAATCAGGACTCAAGACTGTACTGTCCCATTACTCATATAAAATCTTCCTGATTTTGTGGATCTTCTTTCATGTCCACATCATTGTCTTCCAAGTTAAGATTTGAAGATTTATATTCAGAGAGTAATTTCAAGATGTCGGATCTCTCACTTTTCTTGGCCTGTGTGATGATGCTTTCCAGGATGGGCTGCATGGAATAGGCGTATTCCATAAGGCTCCTAGTTTTACAGTTTTCTCCTTTGTACGCGTAGCCACCGGTGTGCACGCCAATCAGATAGCCGTCTTCGTCAAAAACTGGAGAGCCAGAAGATCCGTGAAAGAAACAAGAGTTATAAATGATCTGGTTGTCATGCATTTCCCATTTCTCTGCCAGAGACTGCTGTGTCATCACGTGAATGAAATTGACATTCTCAGAGATGTGTTTATCTGCAGCCTCTTGTAGATTCTCTTTCCCAATGATGAAACAGGGGTCTATTTTCTTGACCCCTTCACCCGGATGTCCTACAATGCAGATCCCACCACGGTTAGGAGGGGGGCCATGAATGTATCGACGGAGCAGTCCAGGACAGTCAGCGATTTCATCAGCATCTTTCAGTTCAAGAAGAGCAAAGTCAAGATATGGGCCCGTGTTGGTCTTTCCATGATGGTACGCTGCAAGATGTTCCTTGACCGGCACACACTTGGTCTCCTTTGCTTCCAGATCTTCATAGCCAAATACTGCTGTGAAGGTCTTTGAAAGTTTCCTGGTGAAAGGGTCAAATTTTCCAATAACATGAGCATTAGTGAGGATGAATCTGTCAAAGAGTAAGAAGCCAGTTCCTCTGGCGGATCCCTCCACTCGAATCTGACACACAGAGTCAGAGAGTCTCATGAGCTGCTTCACTTTCTTTACTTCCAAGAAACTCTGAACACATTTATCATATTCTGCTCTATAGAACTTTTGGATATCAGATTTGTTCTTCAGGTTCTCTCTCTGCTTTAATGTCTCCTGTAAATCTTTAAACTGAGCACGAAGAATTGCTAGAATCTCTTCCGAGTGTGGAATTATTTCAGGAGAATTAGTTGCAGGATTTGTGGATTTCATTGTGTTTCTCTTCTGTGTTTCTTCTTGTTCAGTGTTGATGGGATGTTCATTAGTATCAACATTTTCTTTCAAATCAGCAGCTGAAGCTTCTTTCATTTCAGTGCTGTCATCACTCAAGACACCATCTTGAAAATCTTGGCTATCTGGCTGGTTGTTGTCACTGATAACAATGATCTCAAAATGATTTCCATCCAGATGCTCTACGGTCTTTGACATTTCATATTTTGTCTCGCTCTCCAAGTTATAAAGTGCACACTGTTTCTTGAATATGGCATTGATGAATCGTCCGTCACGCCGAAGAGCAGCATTCAGTTTGTCTTCTTTGAACGCGTACACACAAACATCTTCAACCTTCTTCTTTAGCTCATTGTTTTTCATTAAGCGTGTCACTTGCTATTATAGTTTTTGTTAATATTTTGAAATAGATTTTATTTATGTAGTATTTTTAATATATTTTAATTTGAAAGTTTTAGTAATTGTTGTTTTTGTAATGTCTATATAGTTTTTTAGGTTTTAGTCTTTAGTTTCATTTAGTTTAAAGTTATTTTAGTACTTCAATGTAAACTAAATAAAGATGAGAAATGTGAACTAAAATATGTTTTTTTATATTTCATTTTATTTCAGTTAATGTTTAGTTTATGAAAGTTATGAAAATAGTGTTTTTTTATGGATTTAGATAACAGTAATAACCCTGGTTACCAAAACACCTTATGAGGTACATTTATTCACTTACATGAGATGAGTCTCACCTTGCATTGATTTATTTATTAAAACATTATTAAAAGTCTCATACCTGCTGCAGATGACTTTTTGATTGTCCCTCTTCCACTTCCTCCTTACAGAAACGGTTTGTTCTTTCCTGAGTGAATGAATATGAAATGTTGTCAGATTGCTAATATGAGATCACCAGTGAAAATGGTTTGACCATCATATTGTAAATCATAATGAATGATGAGCAAAAAGAGCGATATGGAATTTTTCAATAGCAGCTAATGTCTTCCTAAAACATTTTTTGTAGAGAAATTCCACACACTTTTTCATGAGCACCCATAAACAATTTATTCAATGATATGTCAGTATGCAACAAACCTTTAGTGGATCACGGCCATTAGTTCCAAGCCCCTTTCCTTTTTTCTTGCTTGTATGAATTTTTTTCTAGAACAATGGCAGTAGCAACAATAAAACACTAGCCTATGTATTATTATTATCAATTAATTAAATACACTTGAATCTAATACAATTGAGGACATTTACCAAATTAGCACTGGATTTTATAATACTGCCACGCATAATTGAACAAAAGTACACTCAAAGATTCTCAGTTTCTGTAACATGCACCATTTCACTCGAGATTGTTCTGATGCCCAAATGAAAATAAAAACAGGAATATCAGAGTGAGAAAAAGGTAGGTCATACTTACTATATTGCAAGTCTTCTAAAGCCATACATTAGCTTTGTGTGAGGAACTGACTGAAATGTGTTACTTACTGAAACTCTTTGAATATACATGCAAAACCAAATGCAGAGGGAAAACATTTTTTTATCATTTTAAATTAATATTGGAATAATTACTTATATTTCGGTCTGATTCTCACGCAGGCTTCAGAAGTTCTAATAAACCTTTTTGTGTTCCATGGGTGAGTATTTTTATTTAAAAAAATATATATACTGGTTGACTTGCGCTTGCTCGTTTACATGACCTGCATGTCTTCATTGGCTGTTTTTCAGATACATGAGCAATTACCTAAAATAACTTTTTAGACCTGAATCATTATTATTTAAATATCATGACCTTACCTGAGCATTGTCAGCAGTTTGTGACGCCCTTCTATCTCCAGTGTTACTCCCAGGCTGCTTTTTCTGAAATAGAAAACAAACTTCACATCTACACTCTCTAAACAATTCAATACAATGTTCAACATAAGAAACTAGTAACTGTAAATAGCCAAGCAAAGAAATTTGAACATTTATTTTTATAAATAAGATTTATCAAAAGTTGCTAAAAGCAGCCAAATAAAATTTTTAAATAGCTAAATTTGTTGCTAGGTGCTTTTGGAAGAAAAAGTTTCTAGTGCAGTGTGAAAAGTTGCTAAATTTAGCAATACAATTACTAAGTTGTCAACACTGAATATAAGTGCTGCAGCTTAATTTGCCAAATGTTCCGCCCCCTCCTCGCCCTCACTGGAGAAAATCACGTTCAAAAATAAGGCACGTGATGCTGTAATCCAGGGGTGCCAAACTCTGTCCTGGAGGGCCGGTGTCCTGCAGAGTTTAGATCCAACCCCAATTAGACACACCTGAACCAGCTAATCAAGCTCTTATACTAGAAACTTCCCAGCAGGTGTGTTGAGGCAAGTTGGAGCTCAACTCTGCAGGACACCGGCCCTCCAGGACCCAGTTTGGGCAGCCCTGCTGTAATCCAAGCGATGATAGAAGTAGACGTAGAAGAGTGCGAGGACTTTCTTTTAGCCTAATTTTTTACAATGTTTTTGTAATGTAGCTATTAATTATCATGGGCTGTAATAAAAAACAAGTAGTCATACTAATACTAAAACTAACGGAAGATTTGGTTTTCAAGCGAAATGTAAAAGTAAAGTAAAAGACCACTTCTTAAACCAGAGAAGGTGAACATGTTGGTCAGTTATTTTCAATTTATCTGGTATCTTTGCTGTTTCCTGACGTTATGCTGGAGACGCTATTTAATTTTTTTTTTCTTATTTATTTGATTCCACAGTGTTTGCTAAACTTTCTGTAATTTATTAGTCGTTATATAATCAAAGTCCCTTTAAGGTAATCTATAATCTTTGATATAATACAGCATGCTGTGTATGCCATGCCTCGTCTTATCATTTATTATTAATAAACGTAGTCGGCCATTGTAGCCTACAGTTAATAATAGTGTGCTTTTCATTAAGAATAACAATGAATCCGTCTTTCAAGCATTTGTTTCAGTCTTTAAAAGTGAAAGGAGCATAGCTGTAACGTTAAGCACAACAGACAATGATCTTTTCTTGAACACGTGACACCAAGATGGAGAATTCTAAAAGCGAAAGTGAAAGCGTTCCATTCACAAATAATACACTTTTGTTACCATATAACTATAAACTATGACAGCTAGTGGAAAAGTTTTCATCATGTGACTTTCTCATCAGCTGTTTTTGGAGGTTATCAGATATTACTTCAATAGGTTGGTATATTAACATTATATCAGATAATAAATGTTGATAGCATATATTTTTTTACGGTAAAGTTACAGCTGCCGGTATTTCACCTATTTTTTTTTATACAGTGCATGCAATACTATTCTCCTCTTCAGCAGACACATAAAACAGCACTGATCCAGACACCTTTGGTGTTCATACACGACAGTGTAAGTTTCTTTTTCTTTTCTTCACAGATAACAGCCACAACAAGCTTTTACTCCCATCTACAGCTTTTCAAATCTCTGGGGGAATTTGTAAATGTTATATATTGTATATATTTTGTGTTAAAATGTTACCTTATGTGAGCTGAAATATTAAACGAAGCAGGAGAAAGTGCGTGTCGTCTGTTTCCCGCGGTTTTTCAAACGGTGTGTGATCATCTGATCCGATCTGAGCGCGCTTCTTCTGCTTCTTCTTCTTCTTCTTCTTCGTCGGGGTTTTACGGCAGTTGGCATCCGATTTGTTGCATTACTGCCACCTGCTGTTCTTCAGTGCATTATATCCTCCTGCGACCCAGGCGTAGACTTTTGTCCTCTGAGGACATTATATTTGAGTGAATTTCTCTGAGAGCCTACATGCCACAGTTTGAAGTCTGGGTGTCCTGTTCAGAGCACATTCAGGGCTTTTTATGGATATCAAATGTTCGGAGATTTGATCATAAACACTGCCTCTCCTTGGTCTTTAAATATGACTGGCATTGACAGAATGATCAAATCTAGCACTCTTTTAGGGAAATATGATGATGTTTTGTAATTATCATTTAAATCTGGCTAATTTTCCAATTGTTTGTCGCAAACAAACATCTCAGAAAAATGCTATGGGGTTTCAAATCGGAATATGGCTTTTTGTTATGAAACGGGGCGTAATTTTCCTCCATGTCTTCTGTAGAGGACACCAGGACAAGCGGCATGCTAATCAGGGATTTTGGAGAAACACAGCAAGTCAAAAGGGAAATAAATTATAGATCAATATTCCTATGAAATATGAGATATTCTGTTGCTAAGTTATTACTCTCATTATTACACTTCTCTCATGTTTGCCTCAAGAACACATTATTATGCAAATTAGATGCAGTGTATAGATACATTGTAGAGAATGGGAATACCCACATATACCATAAAGTACAGTAGTATATCAAATCATTCTGTTATAGCTTTCATAACATAGTTGAGAATCATCTTTGTACAAAGTTTGGCTAAAAATAGCCTAAAACCCTAAAAACTGATTGGTGAATTAAAAAAAATAAATAAAACATTGTTTTTGCCTATTCATGTCTACTTTTCCCCTGAATAACTTAGTGCTGGCGTCCTCTACAAAGGAATAACATATTATTTTTTTTCAAAAATGATTTCTCTTCATTTGTTTCTTATGCTCCAACCAATGACATAAAAAAAAACCCTAAAAACTGATTGGTGAATTAAAAAAATAAATAAAACATTGTTTTTGCCTATTCATGTCTACTTTTCCCCTGAATAACTTAGTGCTGGCGTCCTCTACAAAGGAATAACATATTATTTTTTTTCAAAAATGATTTCTCTTCATTTGTTTCTTATGCTCCAACCAATGACAAAAAAAAATTCTGGTTCTCAGCAGGATATTACAGTCTCCTTGCCCTCTCTCTGCACATTCTGAAATACTTTTAACTACTTCATTAAAAACTACTGAACATTACTTTCAACAGATTTTTACAGGTATTCCTGACACTGGGTGCACAGTCCTGTTGGATTTCCCATAATATGAAGAGTAGGTTACTATGCCCCATTCTTAATCTGCTTAATATTGTTCTTAATATTGTAATCTTTCCCAATACAGTAAAACTGCACATTTTAGAGTGGCCTTTTATTGTGGCCAGCCTAAGGCACACCTGTGCAATAATCATGCTGTCTAATCAGCATCTTGATACGCCAGACCTGTGAGGTGGATGGATTATCTCGGCAAAGGAGAAGTGCTCACTAACACAGATTTAGACAGATTTGTGAACAATATTTGAGAGAAATAGGTCTTTTGTGAACATAGAAAAAGTCTTAGATCTTTGAGTTCAGCTCATGAAAAATGGGGGCAAAAACAAGTGTTGCGTTTATAATTTTGTTCAGTGTATACACACACACACACACACACACACATACACATACAAAAACTACCTGTCAATGGATCTAGAATACAGTATATATCAGTAACAAAATATATATCGTGTATCCACAAATTCAGTGGAAGTGAGCACCAACCCTGATCAAACACACCTGAACCACCAAACCAAGATTGATTATTTGAAAATGAGAGACAGGTGTGCTGAAGCAGGTTTAAAGCACTGTATTTTGGAATATTCAAAGTAATCATTTTTAGATGCCATTCTGTAGATTATTTGAGCAAAATAAATTTCTGTCCTATTATAGGTTCAGTGAAGATGCAATTGTGTTATTCTCAGGCAGTGAAGGGTAGTTACTAATTACATGTCATCTGGATTACGTAATCAGATTCCAGAAATTGAGCACTCATTGGATTACATTACAACTGCTCACCAAGCCTCTTTTAAATGTATTTTATGTGTTGTTTTACAATTTATTCAGTTTGAACAGCAAGATTATTTAAAAAAAAAAAAATCAATGTTTTCTTATTTCTTCTTTACAGGACATTGACATTTTTCAGACCCAACAAACTGAAGATTCTAGAAGCTTCTCAACATGATAAACAATCAAAACAACACATGAATCAGACAAGTTACACGTTGATGCAATAAGTGTAAGTGATGTAGGATACCCTTTAAAATCTTAAATGATTCCCTTTGAGCTAAATTGACTTGTTTCCCTTACAGTGAAATAAACATTAAAGCTATATTTGTTATATTAAATGGTTTTATTTGTTGTAACGGACATCTACATTCAGCAAGAAAATATGAAGAACAGTGATCTGGGGTTTGCTGCTTGAGTCTTGGAATTAACCCTCAAAGATGTCATTCTAATATGCATCTCAGTGGAGATACACATCTGATTGTGTATTGTTCTTTCTTATTACAGCAATTCTGTCAAATCAGTTAATTTGGTGTATCTGTGTGATTCAAAGATGATTTGATGTGGAAGCTTGAACATGGTCCCTTACAGCAAAGACAAAATATTAAGCTATGTGAAATCAGCATAAAACATCAACATAAGATATAAAGTAAAAAGAATATAAACATGGATATGAAGATATATGAATGAATGATTTGCTGTATGAGTGAAATTATTGTGAATGGATATATGAATACACAAGTATGTATGAATAACAGAGTAAAGAAAATACAATAAAGAATGAGCTATAAACTTATTTTAGTCTCAACCAAATGAATGAACCCACTATCACCCATAAGATACATGACTTTACATTTATCAAAAATAAGAGAAACCGGGTGTAATTTCGGCTTTTAAACATGCCATCTCTAAAAATTATATGAAAAGTTAAAACCCATAATGACATTTAAAAAATCTTTCAGAATTGAAACCATTGCAGTCGTCACCCAAAGATGTGTGGACTTCAATCAGTATCTTCCATCTCGCAGTCGGTCTGATTCTCCTGCTCTGCAGTCCCAGACTCATTGCTTTTATTTCTGTAGGCTTCTAAGGTATTGACTACCTCATGCAAACCTTTTATATTAGCCTGTCCTCTGATCATATCAAGGATGGGCTGCATGGAATAGGTGTATTCCACAATGCTTCTAGTTCTACCCTTTTCTCCTGGGTACACATATCCACCGGTGTGCACGCCAATCAGATAGCAGTGTTCATCAAAAACTGGAGAGCCAGAAGATCCATGAAAGAAACAAGAGTTATAATTAATCTGGTTTTTATAAACATCCCATTTATCTTCAACACTCTTCTGTGTCATCACATGTATGAAATTGACATTCTCAGAGATGTGTTTATCGGCAGCCTCTTGTAGATTTTCTCTCTCAATGATGAAGCAGGGGTCCGTTTTCTTAATCCCACCATCTGGATGTCCCACAATGCACATCTCACCACTTTTAGGAGGGGGGCCAGGACTGTAATAGCTGAGCAACTCAGGACGGCCTTTGATTTCATCAACAGCATCCAGTTCAAGAAGAGCAAAGTCAAGACGGCATTTATTGGCATCTGTTATGTAACAGTAAGCAGCAAGCTGTTTCTTGACTGGCACCAGCTTCACCTTTGAGTCCAGACGTTCAAAATCAAATGCAGCTTCTAATTTCCTTGTAGAAGAAAGCTTGTCTGGAGACTCAAGAACTTCCTTAACAACATGTGCATTAGTTAGAACAAATCGCCCAAAGAGTAAGAAGCCAGTTCCTCTGGCGGATCCCTCCACTCGAATCTGACACACAGAGTCAGAGAGTCTCATGAGCTGCTTTATTTTATACACCTCAGAGAAACTCTGAACACTTTTATCATATTCTGTTCTAAAGAACTTTTGGATATCAGATTTGTTCTTCAGGTTCTCTCTCTTCTTTAATGTCTCCAGTAAATCTTTAAACTGAGCACGAAGAATTGCTAGAATCTCTTTGGAGTGTGGAATTATTTCAGGAGAATTAGTTGAAGGATTTGTGGATTTCATTGTGTTTCTCTTCTGTGTTTCTTCTTGTTCAGTTTTGATGGGATGTTCATTATGATCAACAATTTCTTTCAAATCAGCGGCTGAAGCTTCTTTCATTTCAGTGCTGTCATCACTCAAGACACCATCTTGAAAATCTTGGCTATCTGGCTGGTTGTTGTCACTGATAACAATGATCTCAAAATGATTTCCATCCAGATGCTCTACGGTCTTTGACATTTCATATTTTGTCTCGCTCTCCAAGTTATAGAGTGCACACTGTTTCTTGAATATGGCATTGATGAATCGTCCGTCATGCCGAAGAGCAGCATTCAGTTTGTCTTCTTTGAACGCGTACACACAAACATCTTCAACCTTCTTCTTTAGCTCATTGTTTTTCATTAAGCGTGTCACTTTCTTCCCTCCTTTTGTTTTAATGTAAAATATCACTAAGCTTTTTGATTCATTGGAGAATGAAAGCCTTCCAGTTGTTTTTTTCTTTGTAGCAACATTTCCATGATTTTTAATGAAGGATATGTCTAAGAGCTCATGGCTTTCAATAAGACAGCAGGGGAAATCGGTCTTGACAGCCGCTCTAGGAACTGCTCCTTTGGATCTCTGGATCACCATTTCTTTCTCCTTGTTGTCTTTTTGAATCTTTCTGAAAGTCTTGTTTGTATTAAGAGCATCGAGCACAGTCTTGGATGTATCACACGCCACTGCATATTTCTCACGTTTGTAGCGGAAATCAAAAGTGTGGCTTTGCCCTTCAGCACTCTGTTGAATTCAGAAGAACAGTAATACACAAAAGCATTCATTTAAACACCTGAATAAAGGACTTCAGTAAAATGATTATCAAGTAATATTATAATTTATACAAATAATAACAATAATTCCAGATTTAATTTGTTTCCACAAGCTCTTGATTCAATTACATTCCAATTTGATATCAAGTCAATGATCGGTGCATAATGTGCACTTTTATTTTAACAAGTCTTTATTAAAAAGTCTTTAATGTAGTCAGTTTATTCATGAAGTGGAGAAGACTGCAGGACAAGAGGTGCACTACTGGTAATTTTCAGTGAAACGGTTTTAGATTAAAAGATCAGTCTTGAGATTTTAAGGAACTATCAGATTTTTTTAAATGAAGGGAAATCTGTATTTTTCATATTCATTAACCCAGCCTAAAATATGATAATATATAATGCATTGCAGTTGTTAAGTACCAAGGAGTGTTATTTTAGTATCAATGATACTATTATAGTTTTTGTTAATATTTTGAAATAGATTTTATTTATATACATTTATTTAATTTTAAAGTTTTAGTAATTGTTGTGTTTTTTTATTTGTTAACGTCTATATAGTTTTTTTTTTTTATTAAGCTTTAGTGTTCAGTTTTATTTAGTATTAGTTTAAAGTTATTTTAGTACTTCAACCCTCCTATTATCCAAGGGGTCAATTTGACCCCATTCAATGTTTAACTTCTGTAAATACATGATTGACTTTTTTATTTTTTTGCTTCAGATTTAATGACTATTCCTAATTTAATGGGGACAACTCTGTAAACATAAAAATAACATGACATTTTTTCAATGTCATACACATTTTGTAGCATCAGTGTTCTTTTGGGTCAATTTGACCCCGTGCTCTTTTAGCTGTATAAAACATAAGACGTATCAAAATTTCACACACATTTGTTTTGGTTGTTTTGGGTGATATTTAGGTCACTTTAACATGCTATAATTTTATAATATTCACTATAATTTTATATATTCAGTATAATATTCAAAAAACTTCCCTCTGTTTTAGGGCTCTAACATAAAAATACCTGTAGTACTGCAAGAGCCGCTGATAGTTTACATGGCATGGGGGTAGGGGTAATCCTAATTCTCGTGAGAACTTTGATATTTCCCATGCCGTGGGGGAAGGGAAAACATAATTCTTGTGGTTTACAGGGGAGGAGCAAACATATAAAAGCTTGCACATAAGCCTTCTAAACCATTTCTCTTTGTGCTCGGTGGGCTCTCTCTTTATGCTCTCTCTCTCAATTGAAAATGGCCTTTAAAGGTGCAGTAAGCGATTTCTGAGACATGTTGTTGATATTTGACATCACCAAAACAAACACACCCCTACCTAAAAGAATTACACCCCTATCTTGCCTCCGCCCCTAAATTTCTGAACATGCTATTCAACACAGGCACCTCCTCCATCACTACTGGACACGCCCCTTACTGGTGATTGGCTACAAGTGTGTTTTGGTGCTCTGTCCGATCCACTTTCAACAGCGTTTCTCAGAAATCGCTTAGAGAATGTGTCTGAGACAGACGATAATGTTGAGTTGAAGAGGACCCTGATTATGAGGACCCTCCTGTTGTCTCTAACCACCAGCAGACACATTACCTTCCAAAAATGGAAAGTTATTACGGTCCCGCTCCTCACTTGAACGACAGAGGGCTGCTAATTAGGGCTGGGTAAAAAATATTGATATCTCGATTTTAATTGATTCTCATTTTTACAGAACGTTATCAATTCTTAAATCCCAATAATCAATTATTCTAGTCTGTTTTCAGTTAATGGATGGAACATTGAAGGGCACCTCCTATCCAATAAATCGCAATAAGCATTGTGCTTTAGTACTTTTAATATGAAACAAAGTCTCAGATTTCAAATTAGGTCCATTGTATTGCAGTATTCAAACAATAAATGCCGTTTCGGTGCCGTTTAATGTGGAGTGACAGATCGCTGTAGCGCCTCAGATCAACAGATGAACTGATCATCTCCTCCACATTAATACCAGTTTCAGCACAAAATAAACATGACTAAACATCCGAAGGTAAGTTAAAGGTAGGGTATGTAATTTTTCAAAAACACTTTAGAAAACTGATTCGGGCCGAATAGCAAAACAAACTTGTAGCCAATCAGCAATAAGGGGCGTCTCTACTCGTGATGTGGAGGAAAGAGCTTTCAGTGCATGGGACGAACATTAGCCAAGCCGAGCGACAGAAAGATAGAGATGGCGGATAAAAAAAACAAAAGAGGAAAACGTCTGCGGAACGATAAGGCAAGAAGTAGGACCCGTGTAAATATCGGATCAGCTTTCCGGCACTGGAGAGAACTCAAGGAGTGGAGGCCTGCGATTGGACGCCGAGGTTGCTTTGTTTCTTCTCAATAGGTGAGTAACACTGTGTCTACAACAGCTAAAGTCTGCCTACACTGGACGCGATCAAATGACGATCAAATCCCGGATTTGAAATTTGTGTCAGCACGTCATAAATAGAACCCGGCAGCAGTTTTCTGTCGGGGATTTGTTGCGACGCTCACGTCTGATGTAGACACGGTGTAACATTGGTTTTGCTTTGTTTCACAGAACTAATCGTTGCCTGGGTTGCGTACGTATATGTGGGGCGGAGTTATCAAAATAGGGGCAAGACCCTTTTGGGGTAGGGGCGTGTTTGTTTTGGTGATTTCTAATATCAACATTGGCTACCAGAAATCGCTTACCCTGCCTTTAAAAGAAAGAGTACAACTTTACAATCCATATCCTGTGTCATGTAATCGCTCAATCAGTGTTTCAGTCGCGCAAAGACGTCAATATAACAGCTTGTAAACAATGTCACGTAACGTCACATTTACCTCAGAAAAAACATATTCGGTGACCATAAACTCATAAATCAGCTAGAAACTGTAGCAGGGGTCTGTTTTGTAGAGAGTCCCCCTGCGGTGAAAATCTAGTTTTTTTAATGTTGTTTATTTGTCTATGTGGTGTTTTTAATATGCTTTTAGACAACCCATGTGTTAATCCATTTATCAACACCATTGCTGAGTATTTTCTCCTTAAAACTGTAGTTTCCCAAAGGTAGTCACAGAAACCTGGTTTGAAACAGCCCTCGGTTTGCTATACGTCACAATCCAATAACCAATCACATCAAGGGATCGATTCCTATCACTAGCATGCAAAATATACCAATACCAGCACAAAACCAAAAATAAATTACAGCAAAAAAACGATGAAGCCGTGGTTTAATGTGAATTTAGAACCGCTAACTTGCATTATAACCCGTGGCAACAGTGTAAAAGTAGCCCGGAGTCAGACCCACCTCTCCCGCATCTTCACGCGTATGCTCGCGGGCGCGAATTAAGAATCCCAAACGGCTGTACAACATCGTCAAGTAAGTAACTTTAACGAATGTTACAGTATTCACTGTAGTTGTCTGCTAGTAAAAACATAGTTTTATCAGTCATTATCCACGTATATGCCATTGTTTTGCGGTTACTACAGTTCAGTGGATCAGGAGGCGCTGGCTGGTGCGACTGAGTGGAGGTGGGACTAATTTGCATATTCATAGATCCGCGTATAGTAAATGAGGCAAGGGTGTAGAGTTACATTCAAGCTATTTTAAGGCATGAGAAAATTATTTTCAAAAGAAAAAACATTTAAATATGTCATTTTGATGATCAAAGATAAGTTTTAAGGGATAAAATATTTGACTACAGGGGGACTTTAAATATATTTACCATATAACATTATATTGTTATATTATATACATTATAATTTTTACTGTTCTTAAATGTTTAATTTATGTTTGAATAAATCCATCAAGTTTTATGACAGCCACCATTTAAATGTTTATAGCCTATTTAAAAAAACCCGAATTGAAGTAGAAATATTATTATATAATTGTAACTTTATTATTTTAAAATCTTCATTAAGTGTAGTTTTAGCAGTTGTGTAGCCTGCAAATCAGTCAGTTTTAACCTTCAATATTATAGTAATGTAACTAGTAACTGACTCATGTATATTTTACAGCATTAGTTGAGAGATACATTTTTTTTCCATGAGAAAATTTGGCATGTAGCCTACTGTACCTGATATATATACAAAATAATCAATATTTAATCGAATCGAATCGCTTGTGAATGAGAATCGAATCGAATCAAATCATGAAATTTGTGTCAAAACCCAGCCCTACTGCTAATGTCATCAAAATGATTCCAGGGGCCACCAGATATTGCTGTCAGCCATGTCCAAGATGTATAATCAGTATCTGAGCTTTTCATAACACCATCAATTGAAAAGGATATACTTCAAATGACAAACTTAGAGGAGAGGAAGGTGTGGGGACAGTTGAAAAGACTTTGATGTGACTGACTTGCAAGCCTAAATTGGGTTGCTCATTTTGGCAGGAGTGTACAAGTCAAAAGAAGAAGCAAAAGCAAGCCTTTGGAATGCTGACACTGGAAGGTCAATATTTCCAGCCACCATGTCTCTAAAGGCATTCCATGTTTTCTCCTGTGTTAATACGTTTTGATGACAAAGAAACAAGACAGGGCCGACCAGAGCGTGATAATCTCGCAGCAATACGGGATGTATGGGACAAGTGGGCCCAGCGATTACCCTTTCTTTACAATCCAGGCCCCCACATCACTGTGGATTAATGTCTGGTTCCATTTCATGGGTGCTGTCCCTTCAGACAATATATGCCAAGCAAACCAGCCACAAAGATCATTGATGTGAGCGCCTACAATGCCTTTGTGTTATGGAGTGAAATAAACAAGGACTGAAACAGCGGAAAACTAAGTCGAAGGAGGATTTTCCTGGAGCAGCTGAGTTACGAGCTAGTGAAACCTCATATTGAGAGAAGACGGTGCCTTCCAAGAACATAATCAGCTGCTGCAACTGTTGTGAATGACATCCAAATGGAGACAAACATTCCAGTGCAGGTGGGAAATGTGGCAGGTGCCAGGTCTGTCCCAACAGAAATGACTCCAAGACCAGCAACACTTTTGTGAAATGCAAAAAATACGTCTGCAAGGAGCACACACACACTTTTTACACATTATGTGCAAAGTAGTGCAGACAAAAGGGGAGGGGGGGGGGGCTATTTTAAAGGGCTATTTAAGTAGCCAACAAAGACATAAATTACTTGACACAAACCTTTTAGTAAAAAAAAAATATTTATATATTTTGGAGGTTTAAATTGCTGGGGGTCAAATTGACCCCAGTGAAGAATTTTTTTTAATCAGATTTTAGGGTAACAGGAGGGTTAAACTAAATAAAAATAAATAAGCTTAAGTTTTTATTTTATTTCAGTTAATGTTTAATTTATTTCAAGTTAAGAAAATGTTTTTTTTATGGATTTAGCTAACAATAATAACCCTGGTTACCAAAACACCTGAGGTACATTTATTCGCTTACATGAGATGAGTCTCACCTCAATTATTAAAAGTCTCATACCTGCTGCAGATGACTTTTTGATTGTCCTTCTTCCACTTTCTCCTTACAGAAACGGTTTGTTCTTTCCTGAGTGAATGAATATGAAATGTTGTTAGATTGCTAATATGAGATCACCAGTGTAAATGGTTTGACCATCATATTGTAAATCATAAGGAATGATGAACAAAAAGAGCAATATGGATTTTTAAAGCAGCTAACAAGACTTCCTAAAACATTTTTTTGTAGAGAAATAGAGAAATTACACACACACACTTTTTCATGAGCACCTATAAATAATTTATTCAGTGATATATCAGTATGCAACAAAACTTCAGTGGATCACGGCCATTATTTTCAAGCCCCTTTTCTTTTTTCTTGCTTGTATGATATTTTCTTATAGAACAATGGCAGTAGCAACAATAAAATAATAGGATATGTATTATTATTATTAATTAATTTTAAAAATACACTTGAATGTAATACAATTTAGGACATTTACCGCTCTGTAAAAAATCCAATTAGCAAAATGTTGGCTACAGAACAGCAGAATATGAACGCAATGCACAAAGTTTCTCGTTAAGCGTTTTCCTCCTGTAGTAAAACATAAACACTTAACATGGCTTAATGTATTAAGATGCTATTAAAATATCAAATTCAATATACAGTTTATTAATATAATGAATATGTATATAGTATTTTCCTCCCACACCACAAAACGTGGCATGTGACATAATGAACTAAGATGATAAAGACCAAACTCAGTGCTCTTCATTATTAAAATATAGCCTACATAACTAATATACAGGCAAGCAGGTGAGCCCAGCAATTTAATGCATTGCGTTCTGGGCTCGTCTGCTTGCTCTTGTAGTTCATTAAATAATAACTATATATCGAATTTGATCTTTTAATTGCACTTAATGTATCTTAATACATTAAGCCATGTTAAGTGTTTGTTTTTCTACAGGAGGAAAATGCTTAACGAGAGACTTTGTGCATTGCGTTCATATTCTGCTGTTCTGTAGCCACGGATTTGCGGGTCTTGTCTTTTTCTTGCACGACCCTGTACGTTATAGTATACAATTAATTTTAATCGTTTAAACACCACCACAGCGTCTTGTCTCCATTGGCAACATGCACGATTTGTGTCGATTGCAAGTGACGTCGCAGGTAGCAGAGAGTGCAAGTGAAGATTGCAAGTGACTTCGTAATTTAGTTTCTTTTTTCTTGTCTTCACCACCTGGTTACTGTTGTAAAATGTTGAGAGATTCAAACAAAAAGTAATCAATAAATAAAACAAAATAAAAAGACTGCAAGTGATGTCGCTAGCAGAAGTGCAAGTGTCTGAGAGTGCAAGTGCAAGGCTGCAGCCAGACCCTTCTCTTCAAACGGGCGGATTACACGGTTTCTGGTCTCGTGAAGGCGCTTCGGAGAGGAGTTCATCGTTCCGAACGAGAATAAACAACTGAATCCTTTCACAAGGCTGTTATCAAAGCAGACTGCGTCTCAGTCAGTTCCCTAGGTAGTGAATCACTAGATCGTGCACACGAGTCCCTGCACTGGTAAAGAGACTATGGCTTAGTAAACATTGGGACAATTATCAGTCAATTTGTAAAACGTCACCACTGGTATTTATCAACAACAGGTAGGCATATTTTGATATTATTTTAATGCTGTTTAAGGTAGACTTATAATATGAAATGTGCATGTTCTGTTACAAATCCTTGCAACTAATGAACAATCAACGTCAATGCTCCCCGTGTTGTGCGATGGATTGAGATTTTTTTGTGTGCCAAAAAAAATAAAATAAAAAATGGTTCTGTTTCATCACAAATCTAATTAACTGATATTCCATTTTAAATGATTTAAAAGGCATCATTTAATTTCTTGAGATAAATTATACTTTATTTCTCCATCAGGGTGTGGCCAAAGGTTTCATTGGTGCTTTCTCATCATTGCAAGTTTTCAGATGCTGGCCAGTCACTTCTTCCAAGGCTCCAAACACTGCCATGTGACCAGACTGCTCCACTGCAACTACATAGTGTGTGTGTCCTTTCAACACTAAGACTTAAGGTAATATGTGTAAAAGTTTAGAGTGTTTACTACAATTAAAATGTGCTTCATTGTTCTCAGTGGCATCTACGCTAATATTAGACTGTCTCATTCTTATTCCGAGGTCACTGTAGCCACCAGATCCAGTCTGTATCCAGATCAGATAGTGGATCAGGACCTAGAGACATCCCTCGACAGCCCTGAAGGTCAGCGGATACCAGGACAACTAGATGAGCCCCAGAGACAGATCCCCTCCGAAGACCTCGTCACCTAGACAGTCATCGGGACAAGACCACAGGAACCAGACCAGTCCTCTGCACAATCTGACCTGTGTTGCAGCCTGCAATTAAACTGCTGGATTCGTCTGGCCAGAGAAGAACGATGGAGTTTTGGTTCCTTCGACACATGATTTTTGTTTAATACTGTAAAGCTGCTTTGACACAATCTGTAGTGTAAAAAGCACTATGTAAATACAGTGACTGGAATTTACTTGACTCAGGTCAGTTGAACTGTAACACCTGGTTCATTAATTTTTTTCTGACTTCTGCCTCATTTTAAAGATGTAATTGTGAACATAGGCCGGGGCGATAAAACGGTATCGATATTTATCGACAGTACACCTTCTTCGATAACGATAGAAAAAATGTTCGATATAGTGCACGATATAGGCACGTGCTATGAGTGACGCAGACAGCACACACAAACACACAAACATACTGAAATGAGTGCTGTGCCTGCCTGTGATGAGGAGATTGTGAATAAAGAATGAATATTAGTCGAATTTAAAATAAACATTTGCATTTGAATGTTAGGTGTGCATTAGGTAGTGTCATCAGTGGCAGTCGAGATGCGGTGATGTTGATGTAAATGACGTTGTTTCATTTGAATGTTTTGTAAGTCTAGCCCACGAGACGTGCCGCTGTTGCGTTATTCATTCAAAATATGAAGAGAAATATAGAAGCTCAATGCAGAGAAGATCTTGATTAGGTTAAAACCGAAACCAAGCCATTCACACAGAACGCATATTCAGCGCATTTTTTAGACGGACAAATGACTGCTGCACTCGCGTCTGACACAAGAGGTGTATAGAAAGCCATGCAAAGTTAAAACAGTTTAAACTTTTAGAAAACGTGTCACGAATCTGTGGAGGTTTATTCCTTTTCGCTGCGTCTCATGTTTTTAAATGCAGTCTGTGTGAATGGCGCTTCGGCTCTTTGGATTATGCAATGCATAAATACATGATACTGTTTTGTTCATAATTGTTTTATGCAATTTACGAAATTATATTTGATTTTTATGAGTTAATTTAGATGTAATGCACGTTTTTTTATATACAGATATTTCCTTGCGTTGACATGTTAACAGCAATTGAATGTGCTGCATTATTTTGCTCATTGCGCCCTCCTGTGGCCTCGGGATGTCAAAAGTTTCCTTAAGACCTATTTAATCTGCATAAAACATTAGAAATTAGATATTTGTTTAATTTTTATTTTGTGTGTGATTGTTAAAACAAAAAATATTTGTTTGTCTCAATAAATTGTGTTAATTATAAATACAGTGGTTAAATTGAATTTTTTTTTCTATTGCTCTGTTTAAAAAAAGGTTATAAAGAATGTCAATAATTATCGATACCGAATGGTATGAAACATTATATCGTTGACACATTTTTTAGCTATATTGCCCAGCCCTATGTGAAGAGTAGTAATATTTGTAAATGTTTGTTTGCAAACATTTTGTTTAACTTTAGTCTTTTTTAAGTTCATTAAACAAATGTTTAAAATAAATTTTGCAGTTGTATTACAAATGTAATGTTTGACAACTGGAGCACTTTAAAGGGATAGTTCACCCAAAAATGGAAATTTGCTGTTATTTTATTGACCCTCAGGCCATCCCAGATGTCAGTGACTTTTTTTCTTCAGTAGAACAGTAAAGAAGATTTTTATCTGAAATGGTTATCCTTGGCGATTCATACACTGCATGTCTGTGGCTGCCGGTTTTTGATTGTTTCGCTTCATAAGGCCTCAATGTGTCCTCAGGATCCTTTGGTAATTTGGTCTTGTCTGTATATTTTTATTTGACTCTCAAAAGCCGGCAGCCAGAGACGTGCAGTTTATGAACTGCAATGTTTTCAAAGACAATGTTTTCACTTAAAAATGTCCTTTACTGTTCAATTGAAGAAAAAATTTAACTACATCTTGGATGGCTTGAGGGTGAGTCAATTAACAGCAACTTTTCATTTTTGGGTGAACTATCCCTTTAAGCCTGCATGTTTAGTCTGTATGACAAATGTTATAAATGCAGATTGTTATTAAATAAAGGCTATTATGTGATGTAATGAGTGTGTTTTAGTGATTGATAGACACCAGGTAATAATTTTCTTAAACTCAATATAAAATATAATAACTAGTTCCACAGCAATTTCTTATGATGCCCAAATAATAAATCTTAGTTGAGGTAACATATGAAACACATGGAGTGAATGGTTAAATTTTAATTGACACAATTTGCTGTAGTTTTCTAAATGTTTGACCAATTAAACAATTTTAGTTGAATGGACTATAAAACTATTTCAGTAAAGGTTGAGCCAACTAAAAAATAACAATTCAGGCAACACTTTGAAGACAGAAATTGACTGAACGTGAAATTTCTGTGGAACTAATTACTAAATAATTCGTTGAAACGGCTTGAAATTTTTTACAGTGTGAATTAACATTGAATTTTATAATACTGCCACGCACAAAAGTGCACTCAAAGATTCTCAGTTTCTGTAACATGCACCATTTCACTCAAGATGTGTTCTGATGCCCAAATGAAAATAAAAACAGGAATATAAGAGTGAAAAAAAGATAGGTCATACTTACTATATTGCAAGTCTTCTAAAGCCATACATTAGCTTTGTGTGAGGAACTGACTGAAATGTGTTACTTACTGAAACTCTTTGAATATACATGCAAAACCAAATGCGGAGGGAAAACATTTTTTATCATTTGAAATTAATATTGGAATAATTACTTATATTTTGGTCTGATTCTCTCACAGGCTTCAGAAGTTCTAATAAACCTTTTTGTGTTCCATGGGTGAGTATTTTTATTTAAAAAAATATATATACTGGTTGACTTGCGCTTGCTCGTTTACATGACCTGCATGTCTTCATTGGCTGTTTTTCAGATACATGAGCAATTACCTAAAATAACTTTTTAGACCTGAATCATTATTATTTAAATATCATGACCTTACCTGAGCATTGTCAGCAGTTTGTGACGCCCTTCTATCTCCAGTGTTACTCCCAGGCTGCTTTTTCTGAAATAGAAAACAAACTTCACATCTACACTCTCTAAACAATTCAATACAATGTTCAACATAAGAAACTAGTAACTGTAAATAGCCAAGCAAAGAAATTTGAACATTTATTTTTATAAATAAGATATATAATCCATGCTTCTTGATGTTTTGCATTTTGTCACCTCAAAGGATTTCAAAATGCCATTATTACTCATGGCGATGATGATCAAGAGTGATGTTAGCAAGTCAGTGTTTCTGTGAAGAGGACAAATACAAATGATGAGCCCAACGATTAACGAGTTACATCTGATAAAATTCTCAAGCACGGTATTCAGTAATTAAGCGAGCATTTAATGCAGACACATTAGTTTATTTTCGTCCAGCAGATCCTCATTCATGAAAGCAATTTTACAGTAAAATACTATAAAAATGACTGATTTTGGAAGTGAAAAAGAATGTGATTGTATAATTTACAGTGAATAACATTCCCAGAATTCCCTGCATGACACTTCACATTTGATGTTTTTTCGTTGAAATAACTGTTTCTTCTTAGTTTTTTTCTTGTCAGTTGTGTACATTAGGGTTTTATCTTACATGTAATGTTGTTAAATTCATGTTTTTTGCATTATTTCAGTATCATGTGTGTTACCCTTTTATATATATAAAAAACGCGGCAAAAATGAGGCAAGTATTGAGGAAACGATGGCGAACGGAGGATTTGGTTTTCAAGCGAAATGTAAAAGTAAAGTAAAAGACCACTTCTTAAACCAGAGAAGGTGAACATGTTGGTCAGTTCCCCTTCAGGAACTCGAGCTGCGTCGAGATTCGCATTGGGAACGCCCTTGCGTGACCGCGTTCTGAAGCACGTGTCAAATCCGTCCAATGGAGCAGCGACAGACGCTTCATCTATCTTCCTAGATGAAATGTGATGAGTGTCGAGACTGTGGACTCGCCACCACAGTCCCTCGCGTATGAGGTGTGATTCGTGATTATGGGGTGTGTTTCG